TTAAATAATCATCTGTCTCTCTCTTGACTTTTTGTCGAGTAACTCTATTTCTATTGTAAATAACTATTGGATGAAGATAAGAACGTTTGATTTAGAACGAGTAAATATTTACAAACATTTGATAATAGATGAGTTCTAGTTGTAACTAATCTGGTTTCCTTAACAACTTACCTGAACAAGTAAAATAATAGATGTAATTGTGTTTTCTTCTTTTTGTGTTTCTTATCTTTCTTCTAAAACTCTTGAGACTACTCATACAAGTATTCAATCGAGTTCTATGTTCTTATTCAGGAACAGTCATATATATGTCACACATCAGTTATTTAACAAATGCTTATCAAACAGAAAAGAAAAAATTATCATGTTTATGTAAAAATCATGAACAATTAATAGAAAATTATATTAAAAAAACATTTATTAACACATACAAATAACTTTTTATTTTATAGAATATTGTCAATCAATATTGATGTATTATCGTCTTTGGTTATTTAGAAAAATACAAATGATGACCTATCTGTATGAATTTAGTATATCATGTTTTGTTATTTATGATATTCTGCATTGAACAATAAGACTCTTCAAACATATCGAGAAAAAAGAAACAATAATGATTTTTTTTCATTTTAAACAGGAAAATAATTAAAACACATTTTTGAATATTATCAAAAGGCAACTGTAATAAATGTGAACAAAGGGAAAGGGTGAGAGATTGGTTTATCATCGACACCCATACCCTCACACCCACATGCATCCGAAAAACTAAATCACTGAAAGAATTCTATTTCTCTTTCTGTACTTTTTTTGATGGCATATGTGGAGAATGGCAGTAGTGATGTAGGCAGAGGCAAAAGAAAATTCAAAAGAAGTAGAACAAAATGAAATCGGTTGTTGGCTTCTTTTTTTGTTCGTTTTGTCGATAACGTTACCAACAGATTTGTTTGTTTCTTGTTCTGCATAATATTATTTTGAAAAGTAACTACGTGACGTTTATCCTTGAGTGACAACAAAAAAATCGAAAAAAAGCAAGTCATTGCTTATATAAAGAAAAACATCTACTGACAAATTCACATTTAAAAAGAAATTACAACAACATCAAAATGAGCAAATCAAAACCAAATCAAAATGTTGTCACAGCATCCAATATTCTTCAACCACGACAACGTATGACACAAAATTATCTTCTCATCTGGGTAGATGCCAGCATCGATGCGAAAAATAAGAACTGTCAGGACACATTGAATCAACTGAAAAACGTGATCAACAACATCAATTTATGTACTCAACCGGATCAGTGCATACAGTTACTAAATCAGATTGATGATGAACGAGCCTTTGTCATAATCTCAAGCGCTATTGGTCAACATTTAGTTCCAGAAATTCATGACTTGCCACAGTTAGATACAATTTACATCTTTTGTGACAACAAATCCAAACATCATGAATGGACTCAAAACTGGACAAAAATTAAAGATGTCTATACAAACGTTAAGAAAATCTGCCAAGAATTGCAATTAGCTGTTAAGCAATGCGACCAAGACCTTATAGCCGTAAGTTTTGTTACCATAAATGAAATGGCTTCAACTGATAATTTAAATCAGTTGGAGCCAACTTTCATGTATACACAGATATTCAAGGAAATTCTTCTTGATATCGAATATGATCGTAAAGCAATCAAAGACTTGACTATTTTTTGTCGCAAACTTTTTACCGATAATAAAAGCGAATTACAAATTATAAATGAATTCGAACGTGATTATAGTTCACAAAAAGCAATATGGTGGTATACACGTGAATGCTTTACCTATAAAATGCTCAATCGAGCACTTCGAACATTGGATGCCGATACAATTATCAACATGGGCTTCTTCCTACGTGATTTGCATCAACAAATTCAACAGTTGTATGAACAACAGTTCAGCGCTCATGGGGGAAAGTCTTTTGTAGTTTATCGAGGACAAGGTTTTATGAAATCAGACTTCGAAAAACTTCAAAAAACAAAAGGTGGACTTATGTCATTCAACAATTTCTTGTCTACCAGTAAAAAGGAACAAGTGTCACTCAGTTTTGCTAAAGATGCTTCTGTAAAACCGGATATGGTAGGTATTCTCTTTATAATGTCTATTGATCCTAGTATTAAATCAACACCATTTGCCTCTGTTAACGAACTTGGTTATTACGAGGCAAAAGAAGATGAAATTCTCTTTTCAATGCACACCGTCTTTCGAGTAGGCGAAATTAAACAAATAAACAATAAGAATCAACTTTATCAAGTTGAATTACAATTAACGTCGGATGATGATGAACAATTACGATTACTTACCAATCGAATACGAGAAGAAGCTAGTGGTAGTACTGGATGGCGAAGATTAGGTAACTTATTACTTAAAATCGGTCAATTCAATAAAGCTGAAGAACTTTACAACGTATTACTCGAACAGACATCTGATGAAGGTGAAAAAGCACTTTATTATAATCAATTAGGATTTGTTCATTCGAATCAAGGTAATTATGAAAAGGCTATCGGGTATTTCGAACAACAAATAAAAGTTCAGCAAAAAACTCTTCCCTCAAATAATTCTTATTTGGCTATTTCATATGGTAACATTGGTGGTGTTTATGACAAGATTGGAGACTACCCGAAAGCACTTTCATTTTATGAAAAAGCACTTGAACTTCAACAAAAAACTCTTCCTTCAAATCAACTTCATTTGGCTACTTCATACAGTAACATCGGTAGTGTATATTACAGCATGGAAGAATACTCAAAAGCACTTTCATCTCACGAAAAAGCACTTGGAATCTATCAAAAAGCTCTTCCTTCAAATCATCCTGATTTAGCTACTTCATACAACAATATCGGTAGTGTACATGACAAGATGGGAGAGTACGAAACAGCGCTTTCATGTTACGAAAAAGCACATGAAATTCTCCAGAAAACTCTTCCTTCAAATCATCCTCATTTGGCTGCTTCATACAACAACATCGGCAGTGTGTATGATAAGATGGGAGAGTACGAAAAAGCACTTTCATTTTACGGAAAAGCACTTGAAATCTATGAAAATACTCTTTCTTCAAATCATCCACATTTGGCTACTTCATACAACAACATTAGTAATGTGTATTACAATATGAAAAACTATTCAAAAGCACTTTCATATTTAGAACATGCTCTGGACATATTTCAACATACATTACCTCCAACTCATCCTCATATAAAAGCTGTGAAAGAGAGTATTGAAACTGTAAAGAAGAGATTATAAAAAATATTGAAATAAATAAATAAATCTTGTCGGTGTGTGTGAGTGACTGTGATCTATTTGTCTCTAAGCCACGGTCATCCACCTACACCTTCAAGATATTATTTATATCGGACAAATAAATGTATTGAAATATTCTAAGTTGTCGTCCTAATTCATGTTATCTCTTATTCTTTTTAAATCAGAAGCTACGATAAACGTCGTTTTATTCTTTTCAACAATATTTCGTTTATAAATCATCAATATCATTGTGAGGTACTGAACAAACGAGCACAAATTTTTACCAATAATAGACGCTTACTTGAAGATCCTCTATGTATTTCACGGTTGTGAGCAAAGGTGAGAATCTAGTTGTGTACATCCTTGAGTACATGTATATAAATTTTATTTGAATTAAATATTAGAAAAAATACTGATATATTATAGTAAAACAAGAATATGTGAATGATGAAAACAAAATATGGTGAAATTGTATCAGTAAATAAGTATTAAAACGTGATTCATTTACGACCACAACGATAACCATCGCCGCCACAACCATAACGACGATCTTCTCGATGACAACTTTTCCCACCAGGAGGATCATGCTTAGGACGACCACAAATTTTAGTGCCAAAAAAAAGATAACGAGGATAGCAAAGAACACATTTAGGCTCATAATCAAAACCACAACATTCTTTAGCAGTACCACAAGGTTTACCATATTTAGCACAATTGAATGCCCCTCCACCGTAACATATTTTCATTGTTACCAATATAAGAAACAGATAAAACATTGCTTTATGGTGGCTCATTTTCTAATTGTTACCTTGAAATAAAATATTATTGAATGTGTACTTCTATATTTGTTTCGTTTCTCTTATTATATAAAGAACAAAAAGCACAATTTTTTTTTCTTTCTATCGTTAAAACAAACAAAGAAGATATAATAACCAAGCATTGAACTCATGTATAGAAGCAATAGAATTTTCCTTTCTTTTTATTATCTATAGATACCATTGACCTATTCTAATTTTAAATAACTATTGAAAGATGAGAAGGAAAACAACAAAAGATAACTGAAGAAAGTCATGTGCTCCATTCTTATTTAGATTTAAACATTCTAAGTTTAATAAACGATATCTGTCTTAGAAGAAATCATTCATACTTCTTTAATGAAAACTTTTTAAAATAGTCACCGTCAGTTCACATTTCGAATTAATCATTTTATTAATTTTTCTGCATTTATAAAATCCGAATTAGTTCATCTGTCATTATATCGTATATGAAGTCCAACATCTTTGTATTTTGCCGTCCTCAAATCAACTTAACGTCATCCATGACAGTTTTGTGTAAATTATCGATTATGATGAAGCAAGAGCAGCGTTACAACTATTGATAAGAAGTTGTGTGTAGCAAGAGATGATAAGACACACAAACCATCTTGAGGGTGGGTGTGGGCATGACTAGTATATTCATCACACACTCACACCCTAAGTCTCTCTGATGCCAAAGTTTTTTTTCATTCTATATGACGCATAGACACGTCGGCACTGATGAGTCACAGATAAGCAAAGTTTTATAAATTCTTGTTTTTCTTCTACGATAACATCATTTAACAAAACCGACCACAGAAGTCTGTCGTGTCACATATGAAATTATATGAAATTCATGGCGCACATTTTCATCATGAAAGTCAAACGACTCGTTTTTGTTTGTATGCACCTAATGCAAGAAATGTGTATCTTATATTAACTACTTATGGTATGCAAAAATATCGATTAGAAATGATTAAAAATCATGAAGATTTATAGGAAATTATAACAGATAAAGCACTACCTGGTCAAACTTACCTCTATCTCATTAATGATTATCATGGAAAACAAAAATATCGAATAGATCCAGTTAGTTTTTCCGTAGTTTCTAATCAAATAACTCGACAAGTTCAATCAGTTGTTCATGATAACAATGTTTATATCTGGAATGATCAAAATTGGATGCAAAAACGTACTAAATGCAATCCATTAAAATTACCTCTATCAATTTATGAAATTCAACCAAAATCATGGAAAAGTAGTGTTTATTGGCCAAGAAATTATCGTGAAATCACGCATGATTTAATTCATTATTGTATTGAAATGGGATTTACACATGTTGAAATGTATGGCATATTAGAACATACAGATCGATGGGAATATGGTTATCAAGTATCAAATTATTTTGCTCCATCTCATTTCAATGGTCAATGTGATGATTTAAAATATTTAATTGATCATTTACATCAAAATAATATTGGTATTATACTTGATTGGGTTCCAACACATTTTAAACATTATCATTTTTTTCATCAATATTCAACATCATTACATGAATATGATGGAACTAATTTATATGCTAGTTCACCATCACAATGGTGGACATTATATTTTGATTTTGATAAAGAAGAAACACGTCGATTTTTATTTGCAAGTGCACTTTATTTTCTTGATCGATTACATTTTGATGGAATTCGTTTTGATGCAGTTAGTCAAATGATTCGACGAAATCAAACAAATATTTCAAGTGCAATTTCATTCTTACGTGAACTTAATCATACTATTCATAGATATTATCCAGGTGTTCTATGTATTGCAGAAGATTCCGAAGGTTATCCTAATATTAGTAGAGCGATGAATTTTCATTTAAAATGGAATTTTGGTTGGAGTAATAATGCACGATGGAGTGAAGATAAAATGATTTGTACAGTGAGTCATGGTGATACAGAAACAGGTCCGTTAAATAGTAGAAATGTTCTTTTAAATTGTGCTTCACATGTTCCTAATGAACTAGATAAATTTGCAGATTTAAGAAATTTTTTTGCATGGCAAATATGTTCACTAAATCGTGGTTATTTAATTCATATGGGCGATGAAATTGTTCAACCAATGTCATGGTTTCAACGATGTTTTCGCGGTAAATCAAGTATGGATTGGTCATTATCAAATTCTTCAACACTACATGGTTAAATTCAAAAATGTATTCGTGATCTTAATCATCTTTATATTCATTATCCACAATTTTGGGAATATGGAGAAGAAGGTTATTCATTAATTTATGAATATGCACAGTATTTAATTATTGCATATCATCGAGGTATTTCTAATAATCATCGAATTGTTGTTATTCATAATTTTTCAAATCATGCTTATACATCTTATGATATTCCATTACCAAAATCAGATCCTAATATAAAACGTATTCAATATGTGAAAGAAATATTCAATACAAATCAATTAAAATATGGTGAATCCGGAACTTTTCATAATGAACAAATTGAGATTAATCGTAATAATATGATACTTACAGTTGCCCTTCCTCCTCTTTCAACAATTATATTAGATGAAACTTTGATTTGATTAATGAATAAAATACAACTAGAGTTTGAGAGGATATGGGTGTGGAGATAATAGATAAAAGTAACATACTCACCCACATATAAGATATAGATATTGCGCATTTCATTCGCTCACTCACTCACACCCACAATGTTTATTAATTTATAATTTTTTATATAAGAAAAGAATATATAATAACATTGAATATTACAGAGTTAGAAGTGAACACTGGTAAATTGCGCGAGACTAGTTGGAGCAACAAGTATGCTTTTCAACCAACAATGAGATTGCTGAAAAGAACTCGTATTATTTGGCCAACCCCATACAAATCCACGACATCCAGACGTCGACAAGCACCAAATACAACATTCTGTGTAAGTTTTTGGTTGTTCATTAGCCATATCATTACCAGGCATATCTTTTTGTTGTAAGACAGTCATATTTGAACATATCCATGGATTGTCTAAAAAATAGAACAGATTAATGATTAACATTATTTAAACCACATCCGTAAGTAGATTTTATATGTTCTTTTAGTCAAGGAATTGATTTAAACTGTTAAATAGTGAGTTTGAATTAACCTACCTATGATTGAAGTAGTAGCTGTTGCTAAAATAGAAAGAAAACCATTTTCTTTAATTTATAAATGAACTATTGACATATACTTATTTGTGTTGTTTGACTTGATTCGTCTGTTGACGTTTCTTGTTCGGGAGGTAAACTAAGAAAATGAAAGCTTGAAGTTGAAGATATTTCGAGAGTATTTAGAAATGTGTAGTTATAAAAAAATAAACAAGATTGATTAGGAAAACAATTAAGACCTTGAGTGTTTTGTGATAAGATCGTCATACAAATACAATTAGTACATGAATTATTCATTAGAAGAATTGTATTTGAAGATGATAACAATGATACATTAAAAATAGATCCAACTATGACACCATTGATACAGACAATTGCAATAAGAAATTGGCTAACAATAAGATTAAAAAACATTTGAAAAAAAATTTTTTTATAAGAACTATTTATCGATAAAATGGACGATTAATGAAATGAAATAATATATGCACGGTTCCCGTCTTATTATTTCAGTTCGGATACGATTGTTTATATATACTTTACTTGACGGAAACAGAATTAGAAATTCTCTTGTTTTTCTTTCTTTTAAGTAAAGAATATATATAATTTGTACTTTTATTTTTATCTTTACAAAGTAAAATGTGTAAACCTTTGGAAACATGTATAACTCAATTAGTTTATAATGATCATAAACATTATTTTATATGTTTTTCACTTTTATCATGCATGATGTATAAAAATGATACTATACTAGTTAAGTCTAATTGAATTTAATTTTCACAATTCTATTCTTAAGAATCTCTAATTTTCGAATATATTCAGTAGATTGAACCATCATTTATATTATTTTATTAAGTGATCATTGTTTATGTAAAATTTTATGTAATCGCGGGACGTAAAATCGATGCGTTGAAACGCGTCCAAATTACTATGAAAAATAATATTAACTTCAATCATTCGAAATTTGATATTATATTATTTTTCTAGAGCTTTTCATAACGAATCTTTTAAGAGAAAGAATCAAATTTTTATTATTATGTAATTTTCTTTTGTTGAAAAACTTATTTCAGAATTTCAATCTCATCAACTAACTGAAGGAAACTATTTTTTTTTCTCCGTTGATATATTTTTTATTCTTCAATATTGTTTCATTATGAAACACTAAAATTCCATTAGATCAAGGTGTGGGTGTGAATGAGTGTATTCTATTTCATCCAAACCCTCAAATGAATTCTTAATTGCTTCTCCTACTCAGTGCTCTAATACGAGCAAAATGAAAAATTTCGCTTGAAGTGCTCTTTTGAGTCACTGCAAACAGAACTTTCTATCTCATCAGCGAAAGATTTTATATTTTTCAAAAATACATGAAGATACGTAATTATTAATATGTTAAAAACTTAAATCTTAAGAATAACAATAAGTCTGACAAGAAATATTAGCTGGATATTGCCTAGTGACAACATCCGGCACGAAAGGGATACCGTCGGGCCTGTTTGAGTGTAGTAGAAATCCACTCTTGGTAAGTTGCAAGTTATGTTGTCACCTGAGATGAATACCGAGGAAACGTCTACTGTTTCATAGAGTACTTTCGATACCCAATTAGCTTCTGTAGTGAGATTATAGATTGAATGACGCGTGATTGACCTGCAGAGGGTAGGATCGGATCGAAGTCCTTTTATGAGCACGTTCATGTACGTGACCTGAGGGACATACGATGGATTCGTCAGCGATGTAATTTCCGTCACTAATACGAACCGCCCTTGCGCTTGTTTTCCCAAATCCATTGTAAACCATACCGTCTTATTATTGCTAAGATTAAGAACAGTCTGATTCCAAGTCCCACTTGTTGCTAGTTTCACCATCTCGATCCTTAATGTATCACCTTCATTCACAGTCATCACATCTCCTCCAAAGCAGCCCATGAAGCCCGTCTTATTCCCATCAGTATTCACATACTGAGCCGATATCCACCATTGGTAAGGATCAATACCATTTTGATTTGGTGCACATGATGATCCATATGTCAATACGGGTTGGAGAACTCCATTTCCGATCGGCTCGAAATCGTGTCCCCATGGTTGAAGACCAGGCCAGATAAAGAGGGTTGTTTCATTGTTTATTTGAGGAGTTGTAGATGGGACTATGAGATCAACCGAGACGTAGATGAATTCGTTAATATCGGATCAGTGTCTATTTCGAAATCTGCTAATGATGTGTTGATCGCACAACTGGCTAATAGGAGAAAGAAAATTTTAGACACCATTGTGTTCTCAGTAGATTATATGAGATACGTAATTCAAGTTTGAATATAAACAGAACTTTGAATATTTGAAATCGAATCGAAAATATAAAAAATCGGCGACGTTGTAATTCAGATCAGAAGAAAGAAAAACGAAAACGTTTTGTGCCAATATCAACCAGCGAATGGTGATTAGGCACTCATGTTTATGTAGGAGAAAGAAAAAAAATTGTGTCAGTTGTAACGATATGTTACCTACCCTTAGAGGAGGCAACCTCAATATTTTTTTCAGTACTTCTTACTTCTGTTTACCTATCCACTTATTTTGCACTTGCAAATCGCTTGATTACTTCAATCCTTTACCTTGCATGCATGATATGATCAAATTCTTCGTTCTCTTTCGAACTTGCCCTTGGGCTCTACATTTTGATAAGTGTGTGATTTATTCTTCAGAGTATAACAGGAACAACGAAAATACAGTAGTGGGTTTTTTTAATATTCTAAATAAATGTACATATACATTCAAAATTTTAAAGTAGTACTTATAAGATCAGAAATCGTTACATCAGTTTCAACCAGTGAATTGCGACTCGTCAACTATGGAGATGTAGAAGAAAGGAAAAAAGAAGGATGTGCCGGTATTCTATTTCACTCACACTCCTACTCTTTCTAGTGCTTTTCGTGACGAATCCTTTAAGAGAAAAGATCAAATTTCTATTATGTATATATGCTGAAATATATAGAAACATTTTAGGATATTCGATTATATAGAATCCTTTTGTTTTTATGAAAAACTAATTTATTCAGAAAATTAAGATATTCCAATTGAAAAAAGGTGAATCAATTTCGTTTAAAATTCTTCTTTATTAAAATATGTTATACTACACAAGACGTTACTAAGTACACGATAAGAAGTAAAAAAAACAAATGGTAGATCAACAGATAGATTAATGGTGTCTCATACGATTTTGTGCAATAGTAAGAGAATTGTCGATGGGAACAACTTGATTAGGTGTCAAATGGCATAGACTTTTTAGATGTATTTTGATTGTTTGTCGAAGACGTGGTGAAAAGAGAAAATAAATATAAAATGATGAAACAAAATTTATAGACATAATAGATATTGTCAATTGATCGACCAGAAGTTCAATCGAAATTTGATTAAAACTTTTTGTTGCATTCTGTTCAAGTGTAATTGCAGAATAAGTATAAAAGATAGCTCGAGGAAGTGTACAGAATATACTTAAAATAGTTTGAGCAACCATCATTCTCGTCATTTGTTGTTCCCACATTGATGAGCGAGTTCTAACAGGTTGCTGTTGATCATGTATATGAGCGATAAGACGAATATTTCGATGTGTAAGAACAATAAATATAATTAAGACGAGCAAAGGAAAAACAGTAGAGAAAATAGGAGCAAGAAAATAAAAGACAATTTTTGTAAAAACATCATTCGTTGAAAAACAAACGTATGTTGGTGGGATTAAATCACAAAAAATAAGATAAGGAATATTCACGAATGACCAAAAAAGAAATGTAAATAAACCAAGATACCGTGCAATACGATTTGAATTTAATCGACGTATTCTAGCTGATCTAGATGTACATGCCCAACGATCGAATGCAGTCAAGCAAAGAAAACTCATGGCACCAGACACTGTTACTTGAGCTAAGAAGAGCCCCAATTTGCATACTGTTGAAGAGACAGACGTAGATACTGATGATATGACTGGAAGAAGAACAAGTAATAAAACACTTACATCGAGTAATGATTGACCGACAACATAATAAGCACTGGGCGATTTTCGAAATGTTTTGAATCCGATAAAAATAATTATATTAAATAAGGCTGCTGGAACTCCAATACAAAAGAACACAATTGGTCCCCAAAAAGATAATTGAGTAGTTGCTTCTAGAATGAACATCTTTCACTTTCTGTTTTCTCTTTGAAAATGAGTCGTATTCACAATTCCTTTGTCAGTTCTCCGGCAGTAAAAAAAATCGAGAAAAATATAATAAATTGTTCAACGTAGCTTTTTTCTTTTCATCTTCATATGTCTTCTCCGGAAGCTGTCCGTCGCTTACAAGTCACATCCATACATTCATTTCATAATCTGTTTTCTTTGATATTTTTTCACCTTTTCTGTCACCGGAAGAGTTTTCCGTTGCAAATTAATACTATAGAAACAACTGAATACTATAATAAGTATTTACACAATAGCTCATCTTCCAATCGATAACACTCTATAGACTAAATGATGTAATTCATCGGAGATGTCAACGAGTGTAGATGTAGAGATTTGCTTGATATAAAGAAGTATCGTACGAATAAAGTTAACTCATAAAATAAAGTAAAAAAAGAAATATTTTTTACTATGTTCGTCGAAATTTTTGATAACAGTCTCAAATATCTCTTTATTTCTTTACATGATCTTTTATTTGTTTAAATATATAATACGCATATATTTATACTTTCTGTATCAGAATAGATTACTTCCGTTAATGAAAAAGACAGAAACAAAAGATGAGTGTGATGAGACAATGTGATTTATTAGTGATAAACAGCTTCATAGGAAGAGAGAAGTTCTGTGTAGCAATGGCATCTTTTCATTTCATTGACTCTTCTTAATTAATCCATTTCTTCAACAGAAAGACTTATTGAGTGTGGGCGTAAGTGTGAATATTGATCTTTGAGTGATTCATACTTGTATTCTTATACCCACACCCACACCCTTAAGATATCGATAAATCTTATGATTAGCAAGAATCTAATTTCAATAGCATTAGAAATTATTTGAAAGTATAGCCAGATTGTATTCTAACATTTACTTTGTTTGACGTGTTATGGAATATTCCTTATTACATTTATAAGGAATTATCCCATATATAGTCTTTTTTTCTTTTCTATGTATGTGATCTTTCTTTCGTTCTGTTGCGTGTTCTCGATATGTTTCTTTTGGTATTTTCCTAGCTAAGATTTCTTATATATATATATATATATATATATATATATAACTCAGGTATGTTTCTATAATATGATATGGGAAATATCCAGCTAGTCTATATATATATATATAGAGATTATGTTTTCCGTTAGGGTGTGTGTGAATTAGTTAGTTGTTAAACTTGTTACTTATTAAATAAACTATTTAATAAAAGAAGAGATCTAACACTACACTATTTATAAATACAGGACTATTTGATTTAAAGAATATACCAGAAAAAGTTTTGGTTAAAATGTGTCTTCCCGAACAATAGTCTGTGACGATTCATCTTCAGTCTTCCAGGTAGCATTAAATGACTTATGACTAATCTATGTAAAATAAATCCATATCCCACCACTAGTAATGTTAGAACGCAAGCGGCATTCAAGAACATAATTTCGCTAAATTTTTAAAAGAAATCAAATATGATTAGTTCATGCGGTTTCCACAGTATTCAAAAACTTTTTCAAAAAAAACTTTGAACAAATTGTCAGAAAGGATCGAATTTGGTATAAATAATTATGACAACTATCCTCAACATTTAATAAAATTAAATTAAAAATATCTCCTTATCTTTATATTTTTTTTAAAAGTGTCACGATTCTTTTGTCAGACCTAAGTATGTGTTCAATTGGATCAGACAGTTTATTTTTATATAGAAAACTGTAGATCAGTACACATTATTAGATATAAATTTCCGCTAAGCCAAACAGCTGTTGCGCAATATGAATTATCATAAAATTCTTCACATATTTCACTTTTTGTTTTCCTTTCACCTATTCATTAAGAATTCAGTTTCATTATTGTGATCAATATTTGTTATTAAGATGAAATATCATTTCAGATATGAAAATCACCTTCAAAAAGAACAAAATAAATAGCATAACTTATATTTAATAATCTTTTTCTCAGAATTAAAATTATTTTAATTTCAGAAAATAAAAATCTTAGTACTAATAATTCGATATCGAGAAAAGCTTGTCTATAATTGAATAATTCTGTTCTTCGAAATAACGTTTGAGGAATATATACTCTACGTGAAACTTTCTATCTATTCAATGTCAGATAAGTTTTTTCAAATCTCTTCTTATTTCATTGAAGACTTGATAAGAAAATTTTTCAATGATCCCATATTTAAATTCAACTGACTTCATTATCTTTACGACAAATAATGGTTTATTTATTTGAATTACTATTTTGAGTACAAAATGAATCACAAAATATAAAAGAAAACAAGACTTTGAAAATTGATGAAAGTTCAAACAATGTAATGGTAAGAGAATTTTGATGAGTACCACCTAAATCTCTATAAGATAATCATTTTTTTCAGAATATTTAATAATGATACTAACGATTATTGTTTATGATCATTACTACGGTTATTTTTACTACGTTTTGATTGTTTTTTATGCAATGCTTGGAATATAATCTATTTAAATCAAAATCAAAATAATAAAAAGTCTTTTTTGAAAAATATCCTTACTTTTTATTTTAGATACTGTGTATACATTTATTTATTTTATTTAATAACTCTTCATTTTGTGTATTTTTTTCTGATATTAATTTTTGTAATTCATTGTTAATTTCTTTGATTTGCTGGTCAAAATAATTGTTGTATTTCTCATGTTCATTTTTTTAGTTCATATATATAATTCATCAATTTATAGTCATTGCTAATAAAATCATTATCTAAATTAAGCAGTATTATTCTAGTATTTATTCCTGTTTGATAAAAATAATTACCAAATAAAGTAAGATTAATTGTTTGTATTGTTGCGATATTATTTAAATCATTACTGTCAATCATTGAGTGAAAACCATGACTAATAAAGAAATCATTTTGTAAGTATCATTTTTTGAATTTGATGCAATAGCTATTTTCTTTTTGTCTTTTGTTTGTTTTTGTTCATTATTTGATTGATTTCCTATGAAAATATCGACGAAAAGGCTATCGATCATGTATAATGTAGAAAACTTCAAAATGCGATTCTTATTCTTGCTGTAACTTGGCCTATTGCCTTATGTTAATTCTCACTCATACTACTAATTATTTTTTTATTAATTCGATGTTTGATCTTTTAACATTTTTTTCAGTATTTTAATGCATAGGATTCGACTCGCTCAGTATGATTTCTTATACTTTGGCAAAATATAAAGTTGCGTCGCCCGTCGGCCTATTTCAATATCATAACAAGACAATAAATAATAAAAACAATTGAGCAGTCTACTTTGGCATCCAATTTTTCCAAAAAAAATTTATCTTCTTCTCGTAACATTCTTTTTTGTTCTAATAATATTTCATGTGATAAACTTGTTGATGTTATAGTTGTTCATGACAATGATATCACTATTGCTGATAATATATTGTATTTGTTCATGAAATATTCGATTAAAATTGTTTTTATTCTTTTTAGCTAGTACTTTCAAAATAATATTTTATTTTTAAGTACACATATTCGTTCAATATTGCCGTGCTTCTCTGCCGAGAGTTTTTTTTCTTATTCTCTCTTTGTTACATATATATGCATAATGTTCCTATTCTACACATATACTGTTTTATTTTATTTCGAAATTTTTTTACACAATAATTCTTCACGTTTTTTTCAGTCATTATGAAAAAAAACGAATGTTTATTCAAAAAGTACTCCAGTATTGGACAAATAATAACACATGATGAGAAATACATTATTTGCGTACATATTTTGCATCTATGATTTTTTTTTCTGTTACAACCTTGAGGGTGAAAATTATTCTTAGTTACCTTCATCAATCTGTATGAAATAAATTTCCTTCGCAACGTTATTCTGCGTCTACTCATATTTAATAGATGTCATTCTGTGACACTAACTCTATTCATTATTTTGCTCTTGGTCTTCTTTTTTTATATTACGTTTGAGATTGTCTCTTCCACTTCGTTAGTAGTATGTGTTTTGTTCTTCCAAGATAGAATATAGTATTAATAATATGTATTTCAGGTAATACTTCAGTAACTAGACCAATATACATAGTAAGCAGTTAACATGAATTTTTTTTCATATTGGAACAAGCTAACATTCATATTTTTATTAGCATATTATATATATACTGTGTGACAAATAGAGTCGGCAAAGTCTCATATCTTTTAGTTTTCTTCTCTATTTTTTTACTTTCATTCTCTGACATTATTCATCGATTGACATTGCTTTTTTATTGTTTCTCACTCTTAACTATTTTTAACGTCAATTTCGTTTCTTTTTCTTCGTCGTTTTTTTTCGCTCTCTGAATTGATTTTATTTATGTAAGAACATACTTTTATTTAGATTTGGTTATAAAACAGATTCAAATTAGCGTCTAGAACGAAATAAGTAACAAAAAATGGGTAGTTCGACATCTTCGTTCTCGAATTTTGATGCAACAATTCAAGTCAAAGATGGAACAACATTTCGAATATCATATGCTGATTTGATTGATCATGTTTTGTTACTTCGAAAAGTTATTTCACATCCAGAAATGACACAACAAGGATCTGAATTAGATTATTTTATTAAAGATTATTGTAAACGAATGGCACAACAGGAAATGATAAGTAAAAAACAACAATTAAAACTTCCATGGCAAATTGAATGGATTTGGCACGTACATCGCCTGCATCCAGTAGCTTATTTCAATGATTGTACAAAACAACTACAAGGCGGAAATCTTGTTGATAAATTGGCATACAATTTAATAAAAAATCGTCACAAAAAACATCATTCAAAAACAGTTTTTACATCAATAAAAAATGATTTGTCGTTTGTACCATCCATTGATTTAATACAAGCTGTTATTCGTCAACGTGATTTTCTAGAAAAATTTCAAAAACATGATCTATATGTACGAAAATTTAAACAACAAGATCGTTCATATTTCGAACAGTTAGTACAAAATTATGTTTCGTTTCTAAAATTAGCACGAAAAAACGAAATGATTGTACCAACGTTTGAGATTGATATAATGTGGCATTCACATATGAGACGTCCAGCACATTATCATACAGTTTCAAAAGCTTTATGTGGATTTATTCTCGATCATGATGACGCCATCGAAGAAAATATCCTATCAAATAATTATGAGAAAACAGCTGAACGATGGAAACAGACATATAATACAGATTATGGTCGTAATATTGATCGAAAAAATATCGAAGCATCACAATATGTCAGTTCATGTGCAATGGTTTTTGTGCCGATTTTTCTTGCGGGTAGTATTGTACATTCATCATGTGCAGCAGTTGGAGGTGGATGCGATTCTATTTGTGGTGGTGGTGGTGGTGGCGGAGGCGGTTGTAGTGGTGGAGGAGGAGGCGGCTGTGGTGGTGGTGGTGATGGAGGAGGAGTTGGAGGTGGCTGTGGAGGTGGAGGCGGCTGTGGAGGCGGAGGCGGCTGTGGTGGTGGAGGCGGCTGCGGTGGTGGAGGTTGCTGAGCTTAAGATAACTCGAAAAGCAAAACACATAATTATAAATGCTGTTTAAAGTGCGCATTATTTTATGTATATTTTTAATGAATTTTAATTCACGAGACATTAAAATAAATAAAGTATTTACATGCATTTATAAATGTATAGTTTTTCAATTAATAGATTGCTCTCTATAAACTAATCTCAATAAATCTGTTACTAGTTTTATTATTCAGAAAATTTATGCTTATCCTTAAATATTTTTCACAAAGTCATTTGATACATTATAGAACCTTATTTTTGTAAGATTGACAAGAAACTGCTTCTGACTGTTCAATCGCTTTTGAGTTTAGACTTTGTACAAATAATAGATCCAACTGAAGTATGAAAAAGCTTAAAATATTGAACTTATTGGGCATTGATATCTCGAGTTATCGATATTGCACAGGAATTTTGGCTTGTTATATTGTATATATCAATTGATTGTATGATAGTGTTTGCACCAAGAATTTTGCCTGCAAATAGATTTATTCAACAATAAATTTTCAAGATATTTTACTGATGAATGGATTTGTTTGCCTTCAAACCATCTTGAGGGTGGTTGTGAGTGAGAACTCAAAAAAGTATCTACACCCACATCCACACCCACCCACACCCGACACAACTAGAATATCGTTTTTTGTTGTCTATAGATTATTATCTGGTTTATAGTGTAAAGATTTATTTACTGCGAAACAAACGATAAGAAGCAATTAATGATTATTAGAACAAGACATTTTTGTATTGAAAGATAGTTTAGGGAGAAAAGATTAATGGTATCAAAAATGCAAAGCTGTATGTATTGTTGATTTGTTTGAAGTGTCTTATATATATGTGTGGTGTTCCAAAACGCCGCGTTATATCAATCATTAATTAACAATTTTGCATTTGTTAGTACTGTTGAAGGAATATATAATTCGGCACTTTTAAGACCAATATTAGTATCGACATTAGCAAATCCGCCAGTAGCTAACACTTTTCCATCCGTCAATATGGATGTTTGATGAACATCCCGAGCATCATTCATGCTACTATCGATTGTCCAAGTGTCTGTCTATGTATTATATAATTCCGAACTATTCATACAATCACCATTGTAACCTCCAACAACTAATACTTTTTCATTTGTTAATACGGATATTGTGTGATACATTCGTGCCTCATTCATACTAGTGCTAGTTACCCAAACTTCTGTGGTTGGATCGTACAGCTCTACACTTTCTAAAGCAGATTCGCCAGTATCACCGCCCGTAACTAATACTTTTCCATTTGATAATAGAGTTGCTGCGTGAAAAATGCGTCCATCATTCATGTCACCAGTAGGTGTCCAAATTCCGGTTGATGGATCATATAATTCAGCACTATTTTTGGCACGATCAATATGGAATCCTCCAGTGACTAATACTTTTCCGTTGGTTAATACGGTTGCTGAGTGAAAAACCCGGGCATCGTTCATGCTGCCAGTGGTTGTCCAAGCTCCTGTTGTTGGATCATACAACTCAGTACTTTTTAGATAACCTGTATTAATACCACCAGCAACTAATACTTTTCCATTTAGTAATACAGATGCTGTGTGAAAACTTCGTTCATCATTCATACTGCCAGAAATTGTCCAAGCTTCCGTTGATAAATCATATAGCTCACTGCTATTATGCCCAGTAGTAACTAAAATACTTTCATTTCTAGAAATTGACGCCTTACTACTATTTCGCATATTATTCATGTCATTGATTGTTGTCAAAATCTTCTTGAATGAAACATATGATTTCGCACTATGTAGATTAGTAGCAGTGCCAGTATCACCGCCCGTAACTAACACTTTTCCATTTGTTAATACGGATGCGGTGTGGTGAAATCGTGCTTTATTCATATTACCAGAAACTGCCCAAGTCCCTGTTAATGGATCATACAACTCAGTACTATTTAGAACAGTACCATTAATACCACCAGTAACTAAAACTTTTCCATTAATTAATACAGATGCTGTATGACTTGATCGTGCACCATTCATACTACCAGTATAAAACCATCCTAGAGAAAATTATTCGAATATATTTTAGCATTAGGAAGTCTATCACAACACACTCAAAAATAATTTAATAACGCATGGAAGTGTCAAATTTTGTAGAATAAAACGCGTTTCCTACTCTCAATACAACGCATTGTACATTCATGGTATGAGAGAGCATGCTGAATACCTTTTAAGGAATCAAATATGAGTGAGACGTCGCGAGGGTGTGAGTATCAGAGAAAGAGAGACACCCACACTCACCCTCAAGAATGAAAATCTATGATATGATAGAGTTTAAAATCATTTAAGTCTTACCAGATCGTTGAATCGTGGCGGGAATTTTTTTGTGGTTTCTCGGTGCAGCAATGACGAAATTGATCACCAGGAACAGTGTAACTATAAAAACTGTTAAAAGTTTGAAATGATCGATACAAATGATCGCAATGCAATAACAGTACTATCATTTGTGTAGTTTATTGTTTTTAGTGTCATACTCACTGTGTATTTGATGGGCATACATATTATATTCTTTACAAAAAATGAAGAAATCATTGTCTGCAACTGCTTTATATATGTCTATTATTTTCACAGGACTAACAAAAGATAACTATTATTATTAGTTTTATCGTCAAAGTAAATGTAATTTTCTTATCTTTATAAAATAAACTCAATATGTCTTCAGAAAAATCTAAATTTATGCTCTATTATTTTCTTAGGATCTCGAAAAATGTCCGAATTTAAGGGTGAATCGGCTTAGGTGTGTGTTTCTGAATGCTGTATTTAATCTTCATCCACAGTTACACTCATCATCACTGGTACTCTCAAAATGATTTGAGTATTTTAATTTAATAATAATAATTAAAAAGAAGAAATATAACGAAAGATTGTTTTCGATAATTTATCCGCTTGAATATCAATTTGAAACTACTTTCAAGCCTTTATTAATTAGAAAATTCTATGATGTAAATGAATGATATAATTTTGTTCTATTTTTTATAAGATTGCTCTACTTTGTCTACTTATTTGCTTTTAGAAAAGAATGCAAATGAAATAAGTAGGTTAGTTTTTTGAAATATAAAACAAAATATATGACTAACACGAATAAAAAGATTTAAAAATTGGTAAACTCAATTTGTCTTTTAAGAACGACAAAAAACTCTTTGTCTTCTTTTATTTACAGTCTTTTAAAGGTAAAAGGTAGAATTTGAAACTCATTTCATTTGCTAAAGTAGGTAATTATGACGCAATAAAAAAAATAGTTACGAATTACTTTTTCTTTATTACATTAACAATACAATGAACCACTGAGAAATCAAGTAATATACTGAGAAAACCTTAGCAAGTTATCCAATACGAGTACTTACACGTGTAATTTTACTGAGGAAAGCTTTACAGAGTATTCTAGATTTGTCGCGTTCTCTGAAGCGAGTGTTCATTAATTATTTTCTTTTTGACGCCTTGCTATATATAAATAACTGAACAAAACATAATAAACTAATTTATTTTCATACGAATTTATTCTAGATTATTTCTTGACTATTAATCAGCCAATAACAATTATGCGAAGTCGTGAATGTGGATTTAGATGAAGTACAACACAGCTCGATTAAAAAAACCTTGCATATCTTGTTATATAATTAATATATTCTCATACATAACTCACTCTCAACTAGTTTTCATTAGTAATTGATAGCCTATGGCGAGCACTATCAAACACTATACTTCAATATTTTATTCGTTTGCCTTTAGATTCAATAAGAGACAAACATCGTTTTTTTATCGACATCACAATTTTCATTACAACATTATCATCATTATTTTTCGATTTTCTTCTTTCAACTTTGCAGATGCTTGATTTTTTTCTTCAATGAAAATAAATTTGTTTCAAAGTTGTATTGAATTTTCGTATTTGTCCAGAAACTAAATATAAGTTGCGATTTACCGAGAACGTTTCTTCGTGTTGATTATAAATATTTTAGGTACTTTTTGTTGAGAACTCAACAGAATACTATGTAAGGCATGAGTAATTCAAAAATCTACTAGAATCATTTTTCTCAATAAATTTGACTACTTTATACTAATATTATTACACACGAGATTTGTAAATATGCTCGTTTGATGTGTTGTGAAAAACTATATCTAATAATATTTATCTGGATAGTGTAGATCTAGGCGTAACTGCCAATATGACTTTTATACCCATTATATACTATCACACACTCATATCCGCACTATATTATATATATGTAAAATTTCAAACACGTGATACATTGTAATACGGACTTTTAAAATGTAGGATAATGTTTTTTTTCGATTCTCCCAAAAAATTTCAAAACTAGCCATTATTTTTTTTTTGAGATTTAAGATTGCCCCTAAGAGCTTTAGTCAAGACAAGTAAACATTGAAACAATCGCTTTTTTCAAATTTTCCTTCAAAACAAAGTTCCTTTGTAAAAAATACTCAATTAAAACAAGGGTATGAGTGAGAATGAAAAGGATAGTACTTGCACTCATGCCGAGCCATGGCCGGGACCGAGAGGCTCGCACTCGGTACACTCCTACTTCATCTTTACACGCCCACATTAACATCATTAAGATGATTAAGAAGACACCCTTCTCCTACACACATATCTGCCTTCTTCTTCTGATAAAGATCTTTTCGAAACACTGGTTAAAAATATTTAATGAAAAAATAAGTGGATATTCTGCATTTCTATGTGAACGTGAATGGCATAGTACTGCTAGTTTTTGTCTCACATTTGCAAAGTTTGTGGGAAAAGTTTAGTTTATGAATCATATGCACGATGGCTTGATAGCTTGGGTGAGAAAATTATTAAATATAACTTTCCCGAAATCAACATCGTCCCAATAATCGAATATCATCGATTTTATCTTCAAAGTATCTTTAGTACCCCACCAGTTTCCCACGGCACTGATATCGTACTCACCACCATTAACAACGTTGTAAAAGCGGTTTAGCTCAAAAGTACTACGTGTAAAGTTACACGAACCTTGTGATGGCGCTATAACTCGGACGCCGATCGAAAATCCTCGAATAGTTGAATTGAAAATAGACAGTCCAGTAGAAGGAAAATTGTATTTTGTTGGAATGGGATCAGAAATAATCCCGGTCAAATTTTGCGCACTTGATTGAATAAGCGAACAGTTGATTACACCAGTTCTCATCTGTATAGATGCATTGACGGATATTTTCGAGTTCGTTATTTCGAGTCTCGAGAAACGTAACGAGAATGTGGAGTTTATGACCGTACAGTTGTGAATGGTAACAGGAGAGATATAAAAGTTTCCGAGCTGATCAACAATGGTTGTATCTGTCATAATCGTATTACTGAAATAGATAGAGAGTATAGCATTACTATTGTCAATCATAAACCTTCCACGGTGGAGTATACACCGAATAACATTGAAGTAGCGTATAGCTATCCAACCAGCTCCCGTCATCTCTACCACCATATCATTTACTGTTGAGTTAACCAGACTGATAGATCCTTGGTTATCTCGGTAGAATGCAATGGAGATGTTATTGATAGTCGAACCATTTTCTACAACCATGGGGCCAGATAACGAACGAGGTTCTAGGGTCGATTTCTCAATTCGACTATGAGAAAAGCGAATCGGTTCAGCAGCGGCGGATGCGGAACACACGTACGAATTGATAACAGTACAGGAGAAAAACAAGAGCTCTGGACGGTGAGTAGAATCTATAAATAGTAAAGGGAGACACTTCTCCATTTTATAGTTATGAGCCAGTTGTAGGTGTGGGTGTGGGTGTTGGTGATAGAGGTAATGTCTACACCCACACCCTTTCGAAATCTGAATCATTCGAAATCCTACACTTCTGAAATTTTCCTTTTTGGACATATTAAAATTCTACATTATGAATTTTGACGTTTTTCTTTCGAGATTTAGTTTTTTGGTAGTTTTCCTTTCGAGATTTCTTTTCGAGAGTTTTTCTTTCTATCTTTTGACAGCAATTCTATATAGCATACGCCAATAGCATCGGTCTCTGAATCAAGCAGAGTCTGGTCCTTAAGTCCTTCATAAAGTAATCGAATTCATCTGTCTATGAGTATCTGAGTAACTCGTTCTTGCCCTTACTCTATGTATAAGATTTTTTCAACTTCCTCTTAGTTTTAGCTAATGCTGCTTACTATTGTTTCCATTTTTATTTAGATCACCAGCTGCGAGGATCGTTGTCCTGTTGAAGGTAACAAATTCAGATCGAACGGTATATGCATTTTGAGGTAACCCATCGGCCGAATTCTGTAAACATATAGCACCTTTCGGGCCTTCGAAGTAAGCATAAGAGAATGAACTTTTCGACAGTTGAGAGCCTTTAAACGTAATCATGCAATTGGAATCACTGAGTCCTTGAGCAATAAAACGCACCGAGGATTTTGAAGAGCCTCGTACAGTGAGACTTCCACCTTTGACTAAAATTTGGTAGTTTCCGTTATTTGGAAAGATTACTTGAACACCTGCTTCAATAGTAAGCCGTACGTTGTCTGGAACACCAATATTACCCGTGATATAGATAGGACTTTTTGCAATAGACCAAATGGTATTTACGAGTAAAACTCCACTGGCATTAGTGCGACCTTCAACTGATGCTATCCCGATAAGCACGATGAATATCCAAATCATCGCAAGCATTTTTTCGAGTCTATATATACATAAAAGGTTTCTTTTATATGTTGTTTGATAGAGTTCTTTAAGTCAGACGTGAAATCTTGAGGGTGTGGGTGTGAATGTGGATGTAACTTTTACGCATTTAGACGCGTTTTTTTTATAGGTGTTGTTTAACAGGGTGGAATTCTGTTCTGATTCAAAACTCAAAATAAATCTAGTTTGAAGTTAAATCTACCTAAAGGGCCGCAGCTTTTTACTTACAAAACTCTACGTTTCAGTGAGTGTGTATGCTTTTAAGTACTATGAGCTGTGTCAACATTTCTAGAAAAAATAATGAAAGGAATCTGGAAAAGAGGATGAATATCCATATATCTTTTTCTTGATAGCAGCTAGAATCAAATATTAAGTACACGGAGTGAATATATCCTGGTCGACAACGTTTGAGAGCATGAGTTATAGGCTTAAGATTATAAGTAGTCAATACTCGCAGCCTAACATATTGCATGAATGGAAATAATGTGGTTTTAATGTGTTCTTGCTGAAAAAATTGCGATCTCACTGAAACGCAAACATACTATTACTTCATATAGAAACAATGCGAATTTTTGATTATGTATTTCTCCCTCTCACCGTGATTTTGGACTTTTTTCTTACTTCCGAAATTTTATTCTATTTAAGTGAGACTTTACCATTTATAGATCTTATGATACCTATATCTCGAATATATTGTTTTCTATAAAATGTTTTCGAACAATTTTAAAGTGGGATGCTCAATGAAAAGGAGCGCTTGTTTTCGTTCAGATATATCCGAATAATAACGCACCAGAGTCTTTAATTCCGCCATTGTATTCTACTTACTTCGTGCGAGTTAAAGAAAGCCGTGTAAATGGTAAATGTATTTAAGTTGCTTCAGACATAGTAACGAAAAGAAATGTAAAGAAGAAAAATAACTGTTAAGCAATGTGCGTGGTAGTTTGAAAACAGCAAAAAAGGAAGTGAAAGACAAACAATGTCTCAAAAGACACTTCTCGCAATGCAGAACGGAGCGAAATCTTCGCATTGATGTTGGATAAATATTGACATACTTTGCAGTTGCTGGCAAGCAACAAATGAGAATCAGAAGGCAGTATGTTATTACAAAACTGTCGATACTTCAGTGCCAACTTAGAGAAATAATAAGACCAAACAGATGAAATTTGTCGTAGTTGTTCTCTTGAAGGTGTGAGTGAGAGTAGGTATACGTGAGAGTGATTGTGGGTGAGGCAAGGGGGAGAGGGTTTGGGTGTGGGTGAGGATGTAGGTGTGAGTGGATGAGGGTAGGTGAGGAAGAGACTCACATCCGCCTACACCGACACCCATGCCCCAACCCAGCGACCTCTACACACACACTATTCGGTGATCTAACTGTCGACAAAATACATTTAGATGAATAATATTCACTTCTATTACATCCGACTTTTGTTTTTCGAAGACATTTATTTTCCATTAAGAAGAATAACGATTTGCGTTAACAATGTCTAACTGCGCAGCACGTAAATGCATTTTATTGAATTTAAATTCTTTTTCTCTTTGTTGGCAATAACATTTCTTGTGTTGTACAGCATAAATGTTTTTTTTAATCTGTTTGCATTCTTTCATAATAAAATGCCTAGTTGGAAAAAACAAAGTTGCAGATGTGTGTGAGCGCGGATGTGGGTGGCTGTAGATATGAATGAGAAAAGATCAATACCCACTAGAGAGCTGCGGGTCCACGATTTTTTGGACCCGAACCCAACCCGGACTCGAGAAAAAAGGAAAATATGCCCGTACTCAACCAAGACTTGATCAGGCTTAGATTCGGATCCGACCGAGTCTAGACTCGGATTCTTTTTACGAATATATAGCAGGCTGGGTGTGGGTGTGTGGGTAAGAATATAACCTCTTGCCTCTTACCTTTAGCTTGACCTTCACCCTCTTCTACACCCACACCCACAACCACACCCACACCCTCTCAATAGTGTTGAATTGTACAATTGATCAACAGGCGCTTGGACAACTACAGGAAGCCTGAATGTCGCACGAAATAGTCACACAGCATCTACATTAGCAAATGGATTGGTATTAGTTACTGGTGGATACAACGGTTTTATTCTCAATAGTACTGAATTGTATAATCCATCAACTGGTACTTAGACAACCACAGGGAGCATGAATGTCGAACGACATAATCACGCAGCATCCACGTTAACAAATGGATCTATATTAGTTACGGGTGGATCCAATGGTACCACTTTTCTTAAAAGTGCTGAGTTGTACAATCCATCAACAGGCACTTGGACAACTACAGGAAACATGAATGTTGCACGAAGAGATAATACAGCATCCACAGTATCAAATGGGTTAGTATTAGTTGCTGGTGGATACAATGGTTATTTTCATAATAGTGCTGAATTGTACAATCCATCAACAGGTACCTGGACAACTACACCAAACATGAGTATAGCACGAGAGTATCACACAGCATCCACACTAGCAAATGGGAAAATATTAGTTACTGGTGGAGACAACAGTGGTTCACTCAATAGCGCTGAGCTTTATTAATCAATATAGACAGATTGACATTTTCTTTTGTAAATTGAATCATAGTTTTTTTTATATGTAATCAAACTATTTAATCATTCATCAAACAATATATGAGTTACAGTAATATCTCGAAATCATATTGTATGGTGGTTGTTGAAAAAGAGCCATAACTGATAGAAGATAGATCATTATTTGTACAACTCAGTAGTTATAAACACAGATGTGAAGTATATTAATTATTCGTTGCTTCCAACCACATGTATTCAGATGATAATACATGATTAATCGTTTTCAACTAAATATCAGGAATGAACAACTGAATATCTGTTTAAACAAAGTAGTTTTTTCCAACCACACCGTTTTTTATCAAACAGTTTGATCAGTTAATTTTTGTGTTTTAGAAAGTGAATATATATAATATTCCTATTATGTGCGTAGTTTTATAAAATAAACGATATTCTCAACAAAGAAACAAGGCATATTGTAAAAAACTACTACTTATTTCTGAATAAATAAATGAAAAAGAAAATAGAATTTATATTATTAAAAGTGCGGGTGTGGGTGTGAGTGTTGGTATTATATCAATTATATACCCACACCTAGTGGCGGCGCCAGGGGTGGGCTGGGGTGGGCTCAGCCCACCCTGAATTTTTTTTCCAGATCTTAAAAATACCAATGATATTCTATCTGAGCCCACCCTGTATGAAATTTACTAGGCCTGAGCCCACTCTGTTCGAAATTTATTAGGCGTGAGCCCACCCTAGTCAAAAATCCTGGCGCCGCCGCTACCCATACCTACCCTCAGTAGTTCCAATTGGCATAACGTAGAAAGATTTATGTAACACATTTTGTACATTAATATGATTATGTTTAAAGTTAATAACGATATTAGGAAAGGCTTCATCAGATCATTATTCAAAACAATGCGCGAGCTATATATCTTTATAAATGAGTTTATCAGTTTAAAACAGTATAAAAAGTCACTCTGAAATCAAAATTTTTCTTTCCTTTCGGTAATGTCTTTGGATGTTTACATAATTCGATTATTTTACGTCCGAATATCAATCTATCAAAAACTATAGTTTGTAAAGTAACTGTTTTTATTTATATGTATCAATTAAAAAATAGATGAACTTGTATCATCTAGGAAAGACAAATTAATCCACTTATCTCAATTCTTGCATTTAAGTAATATGTCAAAGTATTGGGCTCGTTAATATAAAGAATTCCAAAAATGGATAGCTCAATGACTACAGACTATCGATATATATTTATCACTGATGATTCAGAGAATCAGTACATGACATGACTCTTAATTTCATTAATAAGAAAAATAAAACTATTTATGACGATTTTTGTGTTAAGATACAAAAAGTTGGAAGATAAACTGCGTATTCTTTTCTTTCATTCACAGAAATAGCACTCATACTGTATTTTCGTCGTTCTTTTTACAGTACTTGAAGTACATAGTATCATGCGAATAGAAAATGTATATGGCAATATGATACAGTATATATGGGAATAGGAAGGGAAAAATGTAGATGGACAAAATATTATATCAACCAACAGAATAAATATATAAGTACATTTAAGGAGGAGGAAAGATAGAACATGTATAATCGTTTAGATTGTCACAGTATTTAAGGATGTGAATTATTTTAGTTTATCAGTTTGATCTAGTTATATTCTGAGAATAATAGAAGCACTAATACAGCATCATATCATTCATTTTCGCAAGCGAAAACTGAAGTATTTATAAGTAGAATTATAACTGTAGAAAGAAAAATATCTGTTAGCAGATTTTATTGAAGGAAGTATAGTGCACAAAATGCTGATCATTTTTAGATATTTTCACAAGCTTTGTAAAGTTTAATAAATTGAAAAGAAGTAGGAAAGTTATTGTAGAGGTATATTGAGTTAAGCATGGTAAATAGAGTGGATATCATAACTGTAATATATTCTTGATAATATCACATATTATAAGACGATACATTTCTCTTGCGTCTATATGAGATAAAATTGTGGCATGTAGTTATTCTTTTCTCCACATGTTTGAATAATAGAGAACAGAGAAAAACAAGCCACATGTTTTTTGCTTATCAAAATACTCGCATGTTATATTATCATTTTTTTAAAGATTTGGAAAATTGACGTAATGCATAATTTTGTTATCAGAACTTATATAATCCTATTCACCATTTCAGATAAAATTTCTATATAACAAAAAGATATGGAACTTTCCTCTACTGACAATACTGAAAATGTTCAATCTGAAAACAAAAATAAACAATCCATCCGTCGGCCAATAATTCATGTTTTTACAGGTTTTCGAGCATTAGCATGTCTATGGATATTTATGTTTCACAGTGCGATAGGTAAAATGGACGAAATGATAAAATTCAATATTGTTTGGGTACCATGGAGTGCATCAGCTGGTGTCGTACTGTTTTTTTGTCTAAGTGGTTTTGTCATGATTTGGACTTATGGTGATTGTGAATTTAAATCAATAAAATGTTATTGGTCTTTTATTGGACGAAGAGCCGCTCGTTTATTTCCACTCTATTATTTTTCGTTATTTCTATCTATCAACGATATTAAAAATAGATGGAATATGAATAAATCAGGAACTACAGTAAATACTATATATACTGTATCAACTCTATTAGCTGTACAAACATGGATTCCATATGATTTTGACATTCAATTTTGGAACGATGCAATATGGAGTGTACAAACAGAATGGTTTTTCTATTTTGTGTTTCCTTTTCTTCTTCGTCTGATTCGATATTTATTAAACACAACTAAAATTAGTCTTCTTATAAATACAAATAACAAGAAAAAATCATTGCAACGTTTATATATAATGTGGTTTGTCGTTTTTTGTGTATCCATAATACCTCTGCTATTTCAATGGAAAATGTTTAACCTTACAAACATTGAGCAACGTAAAGGTCAAATAGCAGCAATATATGTCTCACCTTTAGCAAGAATTCCTGAATTTATTCTTGGAATGATTACTGGTATTATATATATGGGTTGTTCCACCGGAAATCTCCCACCATATACAGAAGTATT